CCCCTTGCCAACGGGGAATATTTATTATAATCACGGGCATACAAGGTACATGATTTAAGCTTAGAAACTATTAATGGAAGCTTGAAGCTTCTTTTAAAAAGAATATGAAAAACGTATGGAATAGAGTGTGGTTGTGCACGGGAGAGAGTAAATGAGAGGAGAGAGGCCTCCTCTTAAATAAGAAATAACCAATCTTTTATAGAATGAACTAGAGTATTATTAGAAAAACATTCTCTTATTCCTCTGATTTGTTCAATAGGCCTGATCTAACTGATCTTGATAAATAATTGGGATCAGAACACTCGCTTATTGCTCTGCCATTGAAAATGTTTGATATTTTATCGTTAATAAATTGAAATGACTAACTAGCTACAGAATAATTTATTGAAAAATTCTTGGTGGATATAATTCATGTCCACTGAATGGATATTTTAATAGTTAAATAAGTTTTTTACTTTGATTACGAAAATATGTCATAGTATAGTTGCTTGCTAGATAGTAGGACAAGTTCTAGCTTAGAGTCATGTTTTGTAACACCCTAATCCGTCCAGGTCTGCAGCCCCTTCCGGACTAAAGTATTAACTTGGTAATCGTAAAAATTTAAAACTTTTCAAACACACTTTATTAATCCCAATAATTTTTCATAACATATACAGTACGGAGTATTCAACAATATTGCGGAAGCGAATTTAATTTTGATATATCATAAATCATTTCAAACTTGTGACATCCATCCCGACAATCTCGCCCCATCTGCTGCCAGGATCACAGTGTTCTTTCTGTTGTACCTGCGTGTAGCAAATAAAACACACTACACGCTCAGCGGTAAAGCTGAGTAAGCATATCTAATGCGTCGAACATCCATATAAACTGAATCTAAATTCATAATCAAATCATTTGATATCATGCACACAATGTTCATTTAAGACATTCACAGTTTTGGTATTGTTCAGTTCATATCAACACATTTTATTCAATTCAGATACTATTTCAATAGTGCTCTTAAATTATTCTTAATCTAAGGCCAGATCATAACAAC